GGTATATGTAGAACTAGCGAAACGGCCGCGAGTGCATCACGAAGGGCCCAACATACTCCAATGTAGTGTTGACGCGCGCGCACGCTGCGCACAGTGACTCTACGTCAGCAAAACGCGAGCACGCTATAGTCTGACGCCAGGCGCGACCAGCATCCGTCGCCGCGGCACGACGGCAACCGGTCTGAAATGCGACATGCTGCATTTCGTGCCGATGCGTTACCCAGACAACACTGCGTCTCCCTGTTTTCGCGATAGAGGGACGCCGGACGCGCTGAAACGCGCATGCGTCAAAGCAGCGCGGCGCGTGCCTGCAAGTATATGGCAGGACCAGCGCCTGGCGTCGCAACGCCGGCGTGACGCGACGAAATGAACGCCGGCGAGCACGTTCGTGCACCGCGTCACGTCGAAATGTAATGGCGCCTTGATTGCGGCATGTAGTCATGTTCTCACATAACACACATCTCATGATTATTATGTTTGCACCAGTCACGTACCTTCGTCATCCATCGACTTCACGTACGTAATACCAAATTTGGCATGTGTGAAGCTATAGCGAAACGGCCGCGAGCGCATCATGGGTGTGGCATGTAGTCATGTTGTTACATGACACGCATGTCGTGATTATCATGTTTGTATATGTTATTTACCTACGTCGTCTGTTCGCGTCGCGTAATATATACAGAGTTTGGTACATGTGAAGCAAGCGAAATGCCCGCGAGAGTATCATGAGAGTAGCATGTAGTCATGTTGTTACATGACACGCATCTCATGATTATCATGTTTGCACCAGTAACATACCTTCGTCATCCATTCACGTACCGTAATACCAGATTTGGTATATGTGACGACGCTAGCGAAACAGCCGCCAGCGCATCATGAGCGTGGCATGTAGTCATGTTGTACATGGCACGCATGTGAAGATTTTCATGTTAGGGTCTGTCGCTTGTGTTATCCATGCAATCATGTCATATCATACCAGTTTTGCAACATTCCATGTGAACGAAACCACCGCAAGAGCTGCAGGACCATGAAATGTAAATCATGACATACATGCCATGGTTTTCATATTATGACTAGTCAAATATGTTCTTCATACAGTCAAGTTATGCCATACCAAGTTTGGTATAGATACCAATATTTAAACGGCCAGGAGAGCTAAAAGTCGTAGGCGGCTAGATAGATAGATACGTTCAAAGTCGCCGAAGTTCGCTAAGAAATGCTTCGCATTAAATAAAAAAAAAAAGGCGAGCACTTCAACTTGGCTCGCTGTGGTGAAACTTAGCTTGCTGCTTCGTGGCGATGTTCAGCGGGTCATGCGCGGCACGGAGGGCATGACTCTAAAACTTCTCGGATTTCAAGGCCATGGCCCTATAACTTTAGTTTTTATTTTTTTTCAGCACGCCGCAAACGTTTGCACATGACAGTACATGGCTGCTACTGCTAACTAGTACATCCAAACAACAATTATATGCTTTCTATAAACGTCAGCACAGCACATCGACAGAGTACGCGGCTTCATGTCGGCAGAATGAGACTTACCTCGTAGCATAACGTCGACATGGTATTGATTGATATGTGGGGTTTAACGTCCCTAAACCGCCATATGATTATGAGAGACGCCGTAGTGGAGGGCTCCGGAAATTTTGACCACCTGGGGTTTTTTAACGTGCGCCCCAATCTGAGCACACGGGCCTACAACGTTTCCGCCTCCATCGGAAACGCAGCCGCCGCAGCCGGGATTTGATCCCGCGACCTGTGGGTCAGCAGCCGAGTACCTTAGCCACTAGACCACCGCGGCGGGGCGTCGACATGGTATTATCACGGAGGACCCGCCGTCCGGCAGCTCGAGGTCGGCCGTCCGGCAGCTCGAGGTCGCACTGGCGCTGCAAAGGCGAAAGGGGGACACCCCCAGTAACCCGAGCGGCGACGGGGCACGAAGGCCTTGAGGTCTAGGCCCGCGTGACATTAGGACTTCTAGTGTAACGTGAGATAGGGTGAACCCCACGCCCTGCGCGGCCGGAGGGAATCCCGCATGCTGGAACCCAATAAAGTTTATTCTCTCTCTCTCACGGAGGACCCAAAAACTGCATTTCGCAGTGGCTTGGCCGTCCTCGCCTTCCGTTGTATGCTCCACATCATAAACTTGACTGACGAGCTTTACTCCTTTGGTTCGATTCGCTTCTCGGAAGTGCTTGTCCAGATCAGAGATCTTTGTGAAGCCGCACTGCAGGCGGTACATTGTGAGGGGACTCAAACGCAGCGCGCGCTCTCTGTACGAGCACGTAAGCGAGTGGCAGCGCATTAAAGCGAAGGGAAAACGCGCCATCTACATCCCCATATTTACTTTTCTACCAAAAATGGCGCTGCCTGTCTGGAGACTTATTTACATGGAGGAAGGAATGCAGCACCTTTCCTTCCTCCGTGCTTATTTATATGCTAGGGTGCCACTACACCCGCCCGCTAAAAAGGGAACAGCATCAAATCATCATCATCCTAGCGCCACCATGCGTTGCTTTGGCTTCCTGTACCCCATAGAAATGACTTGCTTCAGTGCTTGACGATAGTTATAGCGCGAGAACAAAACGACGACACAGAGACAAGAAGGACACGAAAGACACGAGCGCTCGTGTCTTTCGTGTCCTTCTTGTCTCTGTGTCGTCGTTTTAATTGTTCTCGCGCTATAACTATCGTCATGCCATACCAACTAGCCCAAGCTGCCATGCTTCTAAGTTGCTTCAGTTCGTGGAGGTACCAAGCACAAAACATTGTAGCTTCATATTTAAATAAGCGCCAACACTTTTTGAGCATGATCAGAAAACTCTGATGATCGGTAGTCGAGGCTACCAAAAAACATGTGAGCGAGGCATTGTAATGGTGCACGCGGCCTGCAGTTTACAATTATTATCAAATCAGCTAGAACTCGCTCTCTTTTCGCTTCACAACGATCCCATATAACCAAATTACTGCGTCATATACCTAGGGTCCATGGCCATTGACTGCTTTGAGCGTATGTCTATAGTGGTGGTAGTGGTTAGAAGGGGAATTGAAAAGGCGCCTAACTTCAGCAGCCTGGTCGGTAGGGGGCATGGCGCAGCGCCTATGTCATGCGCAAACGAAGTCTTTGGGGCTGTAACGGATTCCTGCTGGTTCAGGAAATGTGGAAGTGTGTGCATGTCCCATGCTTGTCGTTTGCCAATGCTGTACTAACCTTCCAACCAGGAACCAGACAGTGGCTGGAACGAGGGCAGAGGGAGGTTGGTCGAATGGCCTTGGGATGCCACGGACGAGTTGCTATAGAGGCCATCCAAGGAGACGTTGGATGGTCTTCGTATGAGGCCTGAGAAGCCAAGAGCAAGATAGCCTACGAGGGCCGACTGCGTCTCATGAATGACAACAGGTGGGCAAGACGCTTGTTCCGATACACTAGCCTGACTGGAATAACGACCGAAAGTTTGGTTTCTTCGCGAAACCCGTGAAGGCAAGCACAGAGTGCGGATGGGCCCGTGCCGTCCAAGAACAGGTACGGGAGGAAGAGAATGAGCAGTGGCGGAGGGCGATGCGTTCCAAGGCAACCTTGACGGTATATCGAAGTTGCAAGAGTAAAATAAAAAATGAGCGCATGTACGACAACAATGGCCGTAGTGGCCTTCTGTTCGAAGCGCGGGCTGGGGCACTACGAACCCTTGTGTACCGTCGCCGATTCGACGAGAATACCGATTACACGAGTGCGATGTGCCGGGTGTGCGGACAGGAAGAAGAAACCATCCCCCATCTAGTTCTGCGCTGTACGTGTTTGGGCCCAGACCAACGAAAGGGAACCACACTGCCCGAGGCTCTGGGGTTTGTTCACAAAGGTGACCCGGGGCCACCCACAGACGATGGAGCGGCTGGTACTGTGAACTATGCGGCAGTACGCACTAGCAAAACAAGGCTGGTGCAGTGGTGGCGCACGACGCAGCGGTAAGGATTTATGTGGACAAAATTGAAGGTGTGCAGATGCGATTGTGTACGCCTGTGGAGTGTTTCGTTTAATTACTTTTTAAGTGTTTTTTTTTTACTCTGGCTAGGGCAGATTAATCTGGCCCGCCCGATACACAGGGATCAGCCTCAAATTATCATCATCATGATATATTTCGCAGGGCGCTTACGCAAATGGTAGTATGTAGGTGTTCTGTGGCTTACGCTTCAAAAAGCCTCACGCTGACGCGCTGCAACGCGTACGTGTGGCCAGACATAACGTTCAGTGCGCTTGCAGAGAGAAACCGCTTCAAACGTGCGGCAAATCTTCGTAAAATGTTAGGTGAGGTTGAATTCGGAATCGTTTGGGCCATGTGATTCGTGAGGTGTCATGGACTACTATACCTAGGGAGACTATTCCATTATAATTCAGAATAGTGTTGCGATAGAATTGTCGAGCTTTGTTAGCATCACCTTTTCATGTACTTGCCATGCTTCGCGCTCCTCTCTGAACGCTTCAAAGTTGATGATATGACAGAATTAAGGTGTGCTTTTCTAGGTTGCTTACTTCAAAGACGTTTATATATAGAAAGAAAAAAAAAAGGGGGGGGGGGGTTAAAGAGCGGGTAGGTGGGGCCCCTATGGTTCATGGCTTCACTGGCCTTAGCAGCCCGCCGCGCCTGGCCCAGGGCCGCCACATTTGTGAGTTAGTTCATGCTGTTGCTGATGATCATTATAAATTATTACGTGTTGCACGCAATATGCAATTGCTGTGATGCCTGGTGCGATTCTGCCACGCAGTATCGCGCGTTAAAGCGACTGCTTGTCTTACGTCTGGCATATATGACACCTTTACAGGGTTCTCTTCCGAGGTAGCAATAACTTCCAGAAATGACTGTTTTTCACCACCGTCAGCTCGCGGGGCCATATAATCGGTATTTTAACTCTGTGCGAGGCAATCGAAACCGCTCGTGAGCAGCACCATCGTTGTATGCGTTTCGTCACGTGCGAGATGACGTGCGGCAACGGATTTTTCCGTTGTGCGGCCAGCATTATTTCCTTTCAGTGGCGTTGAGTTCGCGCAACGATCAAAACAGTTTAACTGCGTGTTGACCGCGCTGATACCCGATTCGTAAAATCGCGGGTACAGGTCAAGCCAACGTGACACCGACCTCTCTGCTGTCGGGTCCGGTTTTGCTTTTGGTTTTGCGCGCTGACTGGCGCGCTGCCATCGGAGAGCAACGGTGCTGTGTGACTGAGCAGTAGGCACAGAGCCGGTGAGCACGTGGGATTTCCAGTTTCTTTGCTATGCATTGCACTTTTTAGGGCGCGCGTTGGGTGGATGTCGAGAGACTGGACAGTGACCGCATAGCGACCAGTGGCGGCAGAGGCGATGGCCCCGATAGAACTGGAAAACAAAGCCGAAGAGGAGCTACAGAACGGCGGTGACCACAACAAAAGGCTGGCTTGCGACTCGCCGGAAAAGATTGTCCATGTGGCTGCGATCAAGCCGTCGGAAAAAACTGTCGGTCCCAAAGAGAAGTAAGTCCGTGAGCAGTTTGTGAGACTTTCGTTTTTGACCAGAGTGGTTTGACGCCCAACATGTGGTCGCGATTTCCTGGGTTTGGTTGAAGGCGTCCATACGGACTTTTGTTTTGAGCAAGCTGCGGTGTCGCGCTTGACATCATTACGCTTGATTTCGACTCGATAATCGAGCCTTTCGCGTACGAACGCAGATTTGGTACGAGCGGTCAAAGACCGATGACATTTGTGTGCTGTCGCGCGCAAGTGCGTCAGCTCGGCTTCGTTGGAGAGCGAATAATCGATTTCTCCCGCTGTTGAAAGGCGCCGGCGGCCAGTCAGACCTTGCGAATCGTCGAAAGCCCGCAGAAAGCTGTGTTTTAGCTGTTGCTCCACTCGTTAAACCGTATATTGCGGAGGCTGAGCGTTTTCTTTTTTTCCTTTGTTGCACGTGGGATCTCTAGAGATGGACCGGCGCGGCGCACCAAGCGCGTATTTTTAGCCGCAGCTGCATTCGCGAAACGTGCAGATTACAACAGCCCGTCACATACGGGGTCCGGCGTAGTCGCTCGGGCACCGCGCACGCTGTGGGGAAAAGGTCGCGGAAACAAGCTGCTAAAGCTTTTCGTCTTTCCTGTTTTCCTCCGCGTGTGAGCGCTATAGCTTTATGATCTGCCGCCGGCTGTGACCTCGCCATGACGAGCGAGCGGAACCCTCCGAGCTCTGCCAGTTCGGACAGGTGAGTTGATGCTCGCATGGGTGCACCTCTCTCGGGTACATTTGCGCGCGTGCTCTGTTGTCATCGTCAGTGTAGGATGTATGCCGTTACGTTGTCAGAGGATGAGGAAATCGCCTCGTAAACGGGGTTGTTTCCAGCCCGACTCATTTGATCGCACGGGAAAGCGCTGGCGGAACGTATTACACGCACGGACAACTGAAGCTATGTGTTCGGCCGCCCTGGCCTCGTAGTCCCGTTCGCATCCTCCGGTGCCGGCTAAAACGTATATTGCCTGGCATTGCAGTCTCACAGGTGTACTACGAGTCCCGACGTGTATTGTGTCGCGATGTGATTGTTCAGTATTGCTGTGTATTGCTGTCATCTCGTCGCTCAAGAGGCTTTCTTGCTTACTCGTTGTCTTTATGACGCTATCTTGAAGATAAGGGGGTGGCTGGTGGGATATCTCGGGGAAGCTTTCCGATCACGCTTGATAAGTGTCGCCGTTTCTTATGTAAGCAGTTCTATATAGTGACTGTAATACTTGCTTTTGCTCAAGTTATCTTCGCTCGATCGCGCAGGGCCGAACTACCAAATGATGTTGAGAGGTGAGGTTTTGCCTTTCGTAGATTCGGGCGTCACGTTTCGTGCGCCTTCAGTGTCGTCAGCGACAGTGCAAATGTGCCCTTCACCAGACGTTTGCTATTGCTTCTCGATTGCAGCTTTTTGCAGTAAGTACGCAAATCGTTTCCTTTCTGCGTTGAGAAGGTCGGTGAGTAATTACTGTGCACACTTTTCTTTTCCAATAGTGAAACAGCTTGACAGCCACCGTAGGTTGCGCAATTTTGGCATTGCGATCCTTCTGGTATGGATATTAGCCACTTAGTTATCCCAGTGGTGTGGTTGTAATAATTACAAAAAAAAGTGATGATATTGCAGTAGCCAGCACGATGCTGCTGTCAAACTTGGCATTAACTGAACTGGCAAATGACCCACTTTTTCTTTTTGGCTTGATGTGTACGTTTTTTTCTTGTTGAGACCTTATGTTCTGCCAATGCTAGGGCTCATAGATTAAACACGCGTATGTAAATGCTTGCAGACATAGGATTGCCCAAGCTGTATTCCGATTCTTTACTTCACGTGCTCGTACCTTGAACATGAAACGGCCCTGTTAATGCTAACTCCTGCTAACTGTTTTCGTGCCGCACCACTTTCAGCAGGAGAACAAGCCACTCTTGGAGCAAAGCCAGGTAATCGTGTTAGCTCTTGGTGTAGGCTCTTTGCGATATTCTTTCGTCGCTGTACCTAACAATTTCTTATCGGCAGGACCAAATCGCTTATAAGACTTGTTTCTTTCTTTTGCAACAGTGGTAGCTTCGACGATGTGGCAAACGCCAGCGACCTCCTTTCGGAAACACAGACGCCATGCATGTCCCCGCGTCGCATGCGCCGGGAGAGACTATGGTCAGGTTCTGCGAAAGATGACTCCCTGCTCCTTACGCGGCAGCGTACCATCTACACAGCGGGACGACCGCCCTGGTACAATGTTCAGGGACAACTTGTGGAGCCCTTTGTCATTGGCATCTGCGGCGGCAGTGCTTCGGGCAAGACCACTGTGGCCAGGAAGATAATCGAGGCGCTCAACGTTCCATGGGTCACATTGCTCAGTATGGATTCGTTCTACAAGGTGCGTGTAATGCCTCTGTGCTTACCACTCGAAATGCAGTTGTCTCGGTACGTGGTGAAGCAACATTGCTACTGATGCCAATACTTCCTTAGTTTTATGGTCTGAATTATTTTCAATTGTTCTCTTGGGGGCATGCATGGTATGTTGTTGTTCTTGGGCGATGGAAGTACAGTACTGTTTTCATTGTGCTCTGATCTTGGTGACAATAGAGAGATGCAAGAAGGGTTCTTGATTGTATGATGGACAACTGTAGTGACTTTGCAATATCATCCCGGGTATAACTATTGAAAAGAAATGCAAAACAGCAGAGCGCATGAATGCTGCACTGTTCGGCTTTCTTTTCCCTGTGATAATACATGAGATATATTACCGGGTGTCATTTAAGCTCGACAATTGAGAATAGTTCTCACATCATTGTTTACACAAATGCTTTTTATATAATTGTTCATCTGCATAATTAATATGCGAGTTTTATGTTGGAACAACCTACCGATCAAATTCTTACATGCAGTCTCCCACATTAAGGTTGTGTGCCAAGAGACTGTTATTTGGCAATTAACGACATCATGGCATGACGATACAGAAGCTTCAAGGCAGTCTTCTTGTGCAACTTTCATTTTCTTTGTTTCTTACTGGCTTTTTCTCCTAGTAAAATTGCATTACGTCACATTGTTAATGGTATTCACTCGTATTTGGGTGATAGTGGCCTTTCACTTGTGTTTCTAGCACCGAAATAAAGTTGAGCTAGATTATGGTTACGTCATGGTTCTTGCCAGAAATTTCTTGTGGTTAGGTATCTCGAAAGCAGTGGGGTGAGGAATATTTAAGTATAGAAGTTTTCAAGCTTTGATACCCATCCTTTCTTGTTGGGCATTTCTTGCATCCACGACTTTCATCGAAAACGGAAGCGATGGGGCACCTGTATTCTAGCACTGGCATTAAAACAAGGCCACCTGTTCTGACACTCTTACTCATAGCGAAGCGGCGGGAGGCATAGTTTGCTGCATCTGCAATTTATTGGTTTCTCAGGCACGTATATCAAAGAGACCAATCAAAGCATTGGACAGTGAAGCGGATTGGTAGGCAGTGCATGCCCTCTTGAATTGCTCGTTAATTACGCTAAACTTGCGCTTTTCCACGCCTTCACAGGTTTTGGACGAGGAGCAGCACCGGCTAGCCGATGAAAACCAGTTCAACTTTGACCATCCAGATGCGTTTGATTTTGATCTGCTCATCGAGACGCTCAAGAAGCTGAAGGAAGGCAAACGCGTCGAGGTCCCCATCTACAACTTCGTGACGCACGCGCGTGAGAAGCGCTTCAAGTTCATGTACGGCGCAAACGTCATCATCTTCGAGGGTATCCTCTGCTTTGCCAACAAGCAGCTGCTCAATGTAAGTGAACTTATGGTTAATCATGTGATATGGGATCACTCTATTATTATACCCCTAAGTGCCCTCTTGCAGGAGTACGAGAAAGAAAAAAAAACAAAATTTGCACTGGTGCACAAAATGCAACTTATGAATATGTTAGGCGAAATGAAAGAAATTTATACTGTAAAAGCTCGTTAACATGGATTTTGCGGGATCGAAAGTAGTGCTTGAATTAAGCAAAATCCAAATTAGCATAAGTATTAAGAGGTTAATAAAGAAATATGTATTGTGTTCATTTTTTTAATGAATACATAAATGCTGTACTTATTTAAGAGTGGCATAAAAGCTGCCGTTTGGTCAACCTGTGACTTCTTTTGCAGTGCTACTGTGGCGCAAGGCCCCTATGTCTTAATTAGGTAAAGACGTGCTGTGCATCCATACCTTACCATGTACAGCCAGAATTCGTCCCAGGATTGTCCAAATTAACTGGGTTGCGGCCAAAAAGGACCATATCAGCAAGAGTTTGACGCCATGAAATCATGTACATGCTGGCTGGCAACGAAGTACACGTCCAAGTTATCTGGCCTTCGGAATTAACTAGTGTTGAATTAAAGAGCTTTTACTGCTATAAAACATAAAGTTGTTATATCTTTATGCTGGAACATGTATAAAATTAATATGAAGCTTAGGCAGCTATTATGGTTGCATAAGGAATATATAGAAGCAATAATTAGATGCAGTATAATAATTTAAAATTACACTGATGCAAACTATGTGAATGTGTACATTAAAAAATGGGTAATATCAGTCTACATTGAACTGCTCCCGTGTAGCAAAATTTGAAAATATGGCAGGTTAGTTTCAGTTCTTATATATGATAGTTGTTCTATTATATTTTCCAACTTATTTATCTTGAAAGGTCATGCAAACGATGGCCTTCGAAATGCCACAACTCTAACTCACTGTAGTTGGGGCTTTGCTAACATGGTAGTTTTGAATGGCTGTTAAGTAGTTTGCATGTTTCTCGCCAACATTGTGCATTGCTGCATCGCTTTTATACTTTATTTCATTCTTTATTATGGAGGCAGAAATGTTGTAGGCCCGTGTGCTCAGATTTGGGTGCGTGTTGAAGAACTCCAGGTGGTCAAAATCTCCGGAGCCCTCCACTGCGGCGTCTCTCATAATCATATGGTGGTTTTGGGACGTTAAACCCCACAATTCAATCAATCAATTCATTCTTTATTTTTGTTTTTATGTGAACCAAGGTTGAATACTAAAAATCTGCTAAAATTGCAGATATGTTTCATATTTTTGTCAAAATGTTTTAATAAATAGTTATATGCATTATGCATATGCAGTAGACTCTCATTGAAAGTAACCTGGAGGAATCAGGAAAATGTGTTTCATTTTACAGGTGTTCCATATACTACTAGGTCAACAAGGGCGGAGAATCCAAATATGAAATCAGTTGGGCCGGAGGCGATTGTATTATTTAAGCAGCAGTTCCGTATAAGAGATTTCTGTTTACTGGGAGTCTACTGTATGCTATAGCTTGTAACTTGTTGTGGAGCAAAACAGTGGCAACGATTGTGCCACTTCATGTGACTGCCACAAGCTCTTGACAACACAGAGCGTATAAAGCCCACATATTTCAGGGGGTAAGAATACTTTAAGTATCTGATACATCTACACACTATTTCTACAGCATACTAGTGTGATCTCTTTTCGTCGTGAGTTGACCACGCTGTTGACAAGAAGGCACGTTTGCGCTGTTTCTGCCTCCATTGCTCAATGGCCATCAGGGTTTTGATAAAATAGCGCACCCCACTAACTCGACAAAATTTTGACAAAGGTGCCTTCAGGAGCACCCGTGTAGCAGCTGTAGTTGAAAGGCCTTCAGATTGCCCATGTGACTAGAGTATAAGGCATTCAAAGTTTGCTGTGGTTCGATGTTCCTTTTTCATGTATGCTAGGAATTAAGGGCAAGGAAGATTAACTAAATTAGAAACATTTATTTAATCTTCATTGCCCTTTTAACACTGGAGCTGTTAGGCTACTATTTGATTTGCTGTTTCGCAGAGAACTAAAATGCGCGTAGTGCATGAAATGCAATAACTCGGCTGGTGCGCAGTCTGGTCGTCGTCTTCTTAGGATTGACTATAAATAAGGACAGTTAGGTCTTAGTGACGTGCATTCGGGAAATGAAGATAGATGGGGTACGTTTTCCTGTATTGCTTAGTAATTTGGCAGATATTGCGACCTGTGGCAGTCATATCCATTGAGGTTGACATGATTTATGTGCTGTGCAGGCACATTGCTTTTTGAAGAAAACAAAAGAGAAGCACAGAAAGAGAAAGAAGAGAGAGAGAGAGAAAGCGTTGGACACACAGAAGGAAAAAAAAAAAACGGATGGGAACATAGAAAGACCTCGCTGAGAGCTTCATAGTTAGTCAATGTAATTTAGATGGTGTTAATTAAGAGTACATTAAATAATGCCAAGCTAATTAGAGTCATGTTAATCAACAGCTTGTGAATCTAGGTTGACAACAAGCTCTGTTGCTAGTCGAGCCTTGCATGGCTTGTGTAAGATAGCCACATTTTTTTTTTTTGTTCTGCTGACTAGTGTGCGTAGCACTAGTATTCATGCCATATACCTAGTGACTAATGTAGTCATAGTGAAAAAACAAACCTTGTGCCGATAATTTACAGCAAGTACTCAAGACAATCAGTTAATTTTAGTTGAAGTTCTCTTCACTTGGTGACTGTACATGTTGGCAATAGTAGCACGTGCAATGCGAATTAGGCAAGTTGCAAGTTGTTGACGAGACGCATGCATTGACGTTGTGCAACGCCCTTAGCAATTTTCGGCATGCAAACAAAGCATTAAAATACTTGACACATTCTTTTCACCGAGCAGGCATAGGTTTCACCATCCCAGCGACTCTTCTGTGTCTCTTCCTGCAATCGTAATGCAACGCTTCATTGGCTCATAGCATGCGCAGCCTATAAAGGGCACACTGTAAAAGTTCGGCATTATGCTCAGGCATTTGAAGTTACTTCAACAAAGAATTTTTTTTATTCCATGAACAAAAATGCTCGTAAGCTCATAAAGATATCTTGTCAAGTGATGCGCTTTACTACTTTTCCCACCTGAAAGTTTGAGGATCAAATCCAGCTACAGCAGCCACATTTTCAATGGATATAAAAATGCCCGAGGTCGTGGTACTTGGATTTGGGTGTCCTGATAAAGAAGCCCGGGTAGTTGAAAGTCCAGAGCTCTTCACTATAGCTTCCTTCGTAATCATATCGTGGTTTTGACACAATAAACCGCACCAATGAAAAAAAAGTGCGTTATTTCAGTGAAGATCAAATTTTTATCCCATGTACAGGTATCTCAGATTTTACGAAGATGCCTTGTGCTTTAGCTGAATTATAGCAGCAGTAAGGCTGCTGCAACGTGTCTCACATCTTTGTGATTGCCTTCGTTCTCTCCCTTTTTATGGCAGATGATGGACATGAAGATTTTCATAGATACAGACAGCGACATCCGGCTAGCACGGCGGTTACAGCGTGACATCACTGACCGGGGCCGTGACCTCGAGGGCTGTCTGGCCCAGTACGAGCGTTTTGTGAAGCCAGCCTTTGACCACTACATAGCGCCGTCCATGGTTCACGCTGACCTCATCGTGCCCAGAGGTTTGTATCTTTTTCGTAGTAGTGCGCACTTTCTTTTGCTGTTTTCTTCATGGAAGACCTCTGTTTATACTCTTGTCGAGATGCCTTAAAATATGTCACGTTAGAGAGATTTAGCGTGTCTGGTATACTGGTATGGACTGGCCATCGTGGGTCACTGGCACACCAAAAACTCTTCGCTGTGCCACTGGGATTTCTGTCTTGTCCAAATTCAAGCCAGATGTTTGCAAGAACAGTGCAACAACACGTACTTTATCGTCGCGTCCTGTCCTTCGAGACAACCAAAATGAGGCTCCTGTGTAGTGCCAAGTTAGAAGACTGATAGTGACATCTTTTGACCCTTCATTTTAACCCACTTATATACGTATACCTTTGGTGTTCCAACGAGCGCACTTGCTGAAAAAAAAAAAAAAGATTAAAGAAGGAAACAAACTTATGGTGCTGGACGTTCATGGTGCTGCTAAACACTTGCACAATTGGACAGAAATTAGTTGCTCTCTCCTTTGCACAGCCAAGTGCCAGTGTATAATCTATGAAGCGATGCATCATGACACGCAGTTTGTAGCTGCCCTTGAGATGCCGCACTGTACTTGTGGCTAATACAAGTCAAAAGTGTCAAAAGAAGAACAGAAATACATATGGCAGCTCCACTAATGTTTAACCTGATTAAGCGCATACAGTCGAACCCTGCTACAACAAAACTGATGGGGCGTGGAAAAATTTCGTGTAATAGAAAATTTTGTTGCAGTGAAATAGAAAAAAAAATATCGCCGATCTGAGCTAGCAAAACAAAGGAACGTTTATTTAAAAAAATGTCCGCTGCTTCCTATTCTTTCCCAGCAACATCACGACGCAATTCTCACCCATGCATAGCGAGGCCATGGTAAAAAGCACGCTGAAACAACGCCTAAAACCACTTTCGTGAACGAACCAAACAGTTGCATCAACACGTTAACACCAGCAGCAGTCCATCATCTAAAGTATTCGACAACACCGATATGGAGGCAAGGTATCGTGGAGCGGCGACTTTTGCATTATTTTATGCCATTCTTATCTTCCATTACTCGCGGCTAGCTAATTTTGTTGATAATGCGGACGAACAGCAGCTCTGATTAGTTACCACACTGTCCAAGCGCGAACATAAGGATAAAGCATAGGAATCGGAAAAGGCATCATGCCGCGGTTGTACTCAGCAGCTGCGAGAAGGAAACCATGAACTGAGCGACTGAGCTTCAGCTTCGCATCGTTTGCGGCTCAAAAGCAAGCCAGTGGCAAAACAAAAGCAGGGCAGTCTCATTACCATCACTATCGTGCAATGGCGGCGCCCATGCTGGCTGAACAGTGGTGGTATAGCGGTGGTTTCTGGTGGTGCCAACGCGTGTTTTATGCTTCGTTGACGCATTTTGACGCCCTGAAAATGCATCAAAATGTTAGATTGGGTTTACTACATAGCAATAAGTATCTGAGCCTGGAATTGCATTGTAAAATTTCGTTGAAGCCGGAAGATCAAAGAAAAAGTGTTCGTTGTGACAATATTTATGCATTGGCTCCTATGGACTGCTGACGGGGAATCGTGCATTTTTCGTTGTAGCGGAAATTTCGTTGAAGCGGCGTTCGTTGTAGTGGAGTTCGACTGTAGCACGGGCACACAATGATTCTTGTTCATAAAGTTACCACTGTTCTATTTACCAAGGCATCTGTGATGCCAATGTTTGAGGTAAGCATATAGGGTTTCCTCAGCGAAAGAGATGCTTGAGAGATTCGCGACCTCGCTGCGTGACATCCGCTACTTTTTACTACACTTTGCCATCCTGTTAGAGACACTGATATAAGACACCAGTGTGCCTACAGTAAAATATGGGTTGATAAGGAAGTGCATATGTGGAATTCAGTTAGATAGAGATAGCATTTTAATCATATTTCGATTCCCACAGGAAGGTTTGTGCATTACAGTTCTCAAGAAATATAAGTCGCCGACCGATTTTTCGGACTCCGAAAATTCGGACTTGTTGAATATTTCGGACTTCGAAAGTGCACCGTCAGGGTTCTCATAGGGCTGATGCATTTTTCCTACCGATTTTTCGGACGAATTCGCCCCTAAAGTTAGATTTTTGTGAATAAATCACTTGTTTAGAGCCACGCCACAAACCTGTATAAACGCCGTCGTGTTGGATTTTCTGTCGGCTTGACTAAGCTTAGTGGCTTAATTTTAAAATAGCTTTCATGCCTCCAAAATTGGAAAGCAAACATCAATATTCAAGTTTCGGAAGCCGTGTCTGCTTTAGAAAACGCGACACGGGACCATTTTCTCGTCTTCGGTCAGCCGCAGTGGTCAGCACTGTCGTCATCGCACCGTACAGGGACAATGCGGAGCTGCGCAGTAGTGGAGTGAATGTGCCTGCCTCAGTGACAATAGGGAGCTTTAGAATAGCGCACCGCGAGCCCTTGCGGTGCGGTCGCTGCTACTGTGCATGCGTCGTAACGCGAGTCGCCGTTCGCGGCCTGCCCACAGAAAATCCGAGATAGCATGCGGCGATCGCGGCCCGCGAAGTGTGTGTAGCTTCCGTGCATTTGAGTATGCAGTCGGGGTGAATGTCCCTTGACCTTGCCCTAGGGGTAGCAAACGCTATTCTAGAACTCGTAATGCGTTCGCTATACCCGCAACACCCGCAGCGCTTGCAAACATTATTCTAAAACTTCCTATTTAAAAACTTCGCTCGTGCGGACGATGACAATTTCGTTTGCGGAGCCCACAGACGAAGAAATTCTTCGCCAGGTGGTGCTGCAGCCGGAGAGCGGTTCAGATGATGACGACGATGATCGCCCGCAGCTGTCGGCAGTGGAGATCGCCACCGTGGTGACGCTTTTATTGAGCATTTACGGTGAGGATGTCACCTTGGCGCAAATAAAGGCGAACCAAATTGCTTCCAAGCTTAGTATGAAGCAAGGCAGAATCATGGACTCTTTTAAGCCTGCCTGATGCAATAATGTTCATATTTCTGACAAAAACGAATTTTTCGGACTTTTTTTTGGTCCCCGCCAGGTCTGAAAAATCGGTCGGCGACTATCATGTTCCAGAATTAAAAAAAGACGCCGCGACTTCATGAAAGTAGCTTGTATGATGGAGTTTGCCCGGAGATTACAAGATGATAGTGCTAGGGCAAAGAAATTTAAATGAAAATGTGGGTTGATGCGCTGATGAATAGCCTGCCGACTTTTTTGTAATGACTATTTCAACTGCCTAAGTATTGCCCTCACACCCCGAACATTAATTGACATCAGTTCTTTGAAGTAGTGTTGAGTGAGTGTGGCGGGTCATCATTGGTAGGACCATCTATGAAATTGTTGTCTTGCAACATTCCTTTGTCCTTGTGCTCAACGTAAACTCATGCTGCTGGTGTTTGCACAATACCACAGTTAATTAGAACTTGAAAAAAAAAAAAAAAAAGAGCTTCGCTCAAAGAATCTGGGCATACCCATGATCTTCACCTATGCAAGACAGTCATGCTAGCCCGTTTTCATTGAACCAAAAGGGCTTTTTCTTGGTTAACATAGATATTATGCATGTTAAAAAGTAAAGATTCATCTTTCCTGCTTAAAACATTACATTTAATTCGGCGGAGATGTCAGAATCGCTGGTGAAATTTACCAGGACGTTGAAGTTTGCGACGTTAAACCGGTGACACAAATGTGCATCCGTGTAAGATAGTCAACTATCCCGAACACTTGCGAAAGCGCTTGACATCGTGAAAAAGGAGTTAGTGCTGTTGGATGGAGTGTTTATGCTCAATCTCTGTCTGAGGTGGCCAATATTTTTTCTTCGATTATGAACGACTCTGACCGTAGCAGTGTCCTGCTGCTTATATCCTACTGCTCGTGTCGTTGAAACTTCAGGATAGTTCGTCAAAATGATTTTCTTTCTGTACAGGCCCTCCTTTTCTGTAGCTCTTTGTGGCCTCGCAGTAATGTCCTAAAATTTTGTTTTTTAGGTGGCGACAACCACATTGCCATCAACCTGATCGTTCAGCATGTCCACACGCAACTAGTCTCGGTGAGCCTGGCATCAGATTCACAGAGGCTGTTGCCATCAATTTTTTTGCTCTTGCAATAATTGTTCTCTTCAAAAACTTTTTTTAAATGTTCATGCCAGCACCCTAGTGTAGCTTTGCATGATGCACAACTTATGTTTGACTTGCAGCAATGATTCCTGACTGCATGCATTTTTAATCATATTTGTTCGTGAGTAGCCACTTCGACGTTGCTCTTAAAATTGTTCACCTGGTTGAACATGTTTTATGCATTTTTCTTAATTGAAATTTGCTTAACACCTTCTATCTGAGAAAACAAAAAAGAAAAACACTTCGTGCTTTCCCTGTGCTGAACCCTGAACCTTAGAAAAGGGGTTAGATAGGAAAAAAAATGGGGAGGTTGTGTTGGTATGACTTGCATTTGTGTTCTTCACAATTTTGAGTCTATGTGCAACTCGAGAGCATATACATGGTAGTACGGCCATGATCTGTTCATTTTCAATTACGAGGGAATAAGTTTTGGAAGGGAATGTTTGTTATATTGTTACGAGAAGGAGACCGACTCAAAGGAGTAGTCACAGATGCATTTACAACCGGTTAAGCAAGCAGCGCCAGTCACACAGACTAGCTTGCGCCAGTCTATCTGCTTTGTCTTCTTCATCTCCATGCATTGGCACGTAGCATGACGCCCGGCGGCGGAGGCACCGTCCCAGTGCTTTAAAGGTCGTTATCTGACGTTTTCTTGTAGGGCTTGATCCGTGAGATGTGTATAATATCACTGGTCTGCGCAGCAGATCACGATGGATAGATGGGGCTGATCTCATAGGTGACAGGTGTCACTTGACGCAATAGACGTTAAGGTCCCGTGTAATGAGACGAAAGTTTTTCTGATAGGCCCAGCCGATGATAAGGGGACCAGAGTAAAATGAGGGTACCGGGAGCGAAATGTGTCTTGATGTTCCGCATCGTACTGACGGCATTGGTTGGTTTGCGAGGCCATCGGCCAAGCAAACCAGTACAATAAGTACAATAAGTACTTCAGTACAATAAGTAGAACGGCGAAAAGCCCGCCGTGTCGTGACGGAATGAATTATACGCGAAAGTTGTGTACGGTAAGTCAAGGTCCCAGTCTCGGTGGTCGGGTGACACGTACATAGCGAACATACTTGTTAGAGTATAGTTAAATCGTTCCATGAGGCCGTTTTTTGAAGGTGGTAAGCAGTTGTCAGTGTGTGTCGCTAGGAACAAGAATGCAGAATGGCGGCGATGACTTGGGATAGAAATGTACGGTTACGGTCTGTGAGAAGTTGTCTCGGAACACCGTGAATCAATATAATGTCCCGTAACAAGAAGTCGGCGACGGCGGTCGCACAGCTGGTCGGTAGAGCTCGCGTAATAGCGTAGCATGTAGCCTAGTCTGTAATCACAGCTATTCATTTGTTTCCCAATGTTGATGTGGGAAAATGACCAGGCAGGTCTAACCCGACACTGTAAAATGGTTCCGCGGGTATGTCAATTCGTTGAAGATGGCCAGCAGGTAGTAGCGACGGTATTTTACGATGTTGGCATAGGTCAGGCCTGGCCAGAAGAAACGGCACAGACACGCTTGTACTTGTGGGATACTTCAAGGTGTTCAGCCGTGGGAGCGACGTGAAGTTCGGTGAGAACAGAGTGCCGCAAATGCTTAGGCACAACAATGAGAAAGTCAGGCCTGTCAGGTCAGAAATTGCGGCGGTTAGCACACCTTTTTGAATGACAATGTAGTGGACGGAAGCATCATTTGGGGAGGATTTCGTATGGCTGATGATGTCAAGCAGCACTGTATCGTGCTTCTGTTGTTCCTCAATGTTAACGAAGCAGGACACTGACAAGATAGAGTGCTCCGTGGGCTCGTCAGTGTCCTCAGGATCGTCGACAGGGTACTGGGAGAGGCAATCGGCATCATGGTGTAGACGGCCAGATTTTTAGACCACTGAATAGGAAAACTCTTGCAGGCGCAAAGCCCGGTGGCCTGATGGATTTTTCAGAGAGTTGAGCTTTTGAGAAAGTTGAGCCAGCAGAGCGCGTGGTGGTTGGTAACTACTGAAACTGGTGTCCGTATAGATAAGGTCGAAATTTCGCCACTGCCCATATGAGAGCCAAGCACTCATGCTCTGTGATCGCGTAGTTATGTTCAGGGGCAGATAGGAGGTGGCTGGCATATGCAATAACACAATCATGGCCACGTTTCTGAGCCAACACTGCACCAATGCCATGTCCACTTGCATCTGTACGGTTTTCCGTAGGGGCAGCAGGGTTGAAGTGTGCCAGAATTGGAGGAGTAGTGAGAAGAGCGATGAGAGTCGAGAACGCAGAAGTCTCTTCGGATTCCCATGAAAACGGGACGTCTTTCTTGAGGAGCTGCGTAAGTGGCCTCGCTATGTGTGGAAAATTGTTCACAATGTGTCGGAAGTAGGAACATAGTTCGATAAAACTGCGTACGTCCTTCACAGGTCGTGGTACAAGAAAGTTTTTGACGGCGCTGATTTTTGGCGGATCTGGTTGTGCACCTTTGGCGTCTACTAAATGGCCAAGTACTGTGATTTGATGGCGCCCAAAATGACATTTGGACGAGTTGAGCTGCAGGCCAGCGCGGCGGAAGATGCCTAAGATGGCTGAGAGGCACTCTATACGAGTTTCAAAAGACGATGACGTTGTCCAAGTAGCATAAACAGGTGGACTATTTGAGTCCTCTGAGCAGGGAGTCCATCAGTCGTTCGAAGGTGGCAGGAGGCCAAAGGGCATAGGCCAAAGCGCATGACCTTGGAACTTATATAGGTCATCTGGGGTGATGAATGCCATCTTTTCACGGTCAATTTCATCTACTTCTATCTGGCAGTAGCCAGAACGAAGGTCTCTGGAGGAAAAATAGTGGGACCCATAGAGGCAATCAAGGGCATCATCTATTCGTGGCAGAGAATACACATCTTTTTTGGTAATTTTGTTTAGGTGTCGATAATCAACGCAGAAACACCATGCACCGTCTTTCTTGTGGACTAGCACAACAGGAGAAGCCCAAGGACTGCAGTTGGGCTCAAGGATGTCCTTGGCGAGCATTTTGTCGACCTCACTTTGGATAATGTAACGCTCGGCCGCCGACACCCGGTATGGACGCCTATGAATAGGATGCTCATTACCAGTGTTTGCGCAGCGGGTCGTACCAGTAGCTTTCCCCAACGGACGGCCGCTGAGGTCAAAAACGTCGATGTAGGACAGCAGGACCCGGTGGAGCTTGTGAGTCTGCTGCGGCGTTAAGTTGGAAGCGATCATTGACATAATAGCGCTGTCGGAGCAAGTGTCAGATTGATGTTGAGCATGGGGTTCAGAAGGAGCGGCTATTATGAAAACATTACCGCATTGTCTTCTAAGGTGCAGAGCAATGCCAAAGAGATCCCTTGTGGCAGCACTTGAGGTTTCAAGCTAACGTTGACAATTGAAAGGCACATAGAATTCCCTGCGATGGACAGAATGGTGTGCGGTAATGTAATGCCGCGGTTTATGAGGACATTGGTGATAGGGGTCAGAACATAGTCACCGTCTGGAACTGGTGGTATTCAGACGAGCCCTACGTAGGTCTGTGTCTGTGGAGGGAGGCGCGCATGTCCCGTTGTGCAGAGGCGACTCTGCCGTTGTGCAAGAGGTTTTTTGCAGGCAAGTGTAGACGGAGTGTACTGGTAGAACAGTCTATAAGGGCAGAGTGCGCGTACAGGAAGTTGAGGCCTAAGATTGGGGGCATTTATCAAGATCGGTGAAAAGAACAACTGTGTGTCAATCCGAAATGCTTACACGAGTGGAGCACATTCTAACGATAGATGCTATTCCGCCATCCGCAACACGGACGAACTGAGCGGTTGCAGGTGCGAAAACCTTCTTGAGCTTGTGGCAAAAATCGCTCGTCATCACAAAAAGTTGAGCGCCCGTGTCGACAAGAGCAGTGACATGTACGTCGTCTACTTGTATGTCTAAGTCTAAGGTTCAGTTTTCTCTGTATCATCAAGAGAAGACTTTCTGTCAGTCCGAGCGATAAAGCACCACCTCCGGGGGCGGCAACACTTAGTTTTCGTTGGGTAACCGCATGGGAAGGTGGGAGAAGATGGTCGGCGGGACAGTGGAAAACGAGACTGGCGACGTTGGTGAGATGGAGAGCGGGAGTACCGGTGTTCCGTAGCAGGTTTTTGGGCAAAATGATTGCTGGTCTCATAGTGGTAGGCAGGATGTGCATGGAAGGTACGAGAGGAAGCTTGTGCAGGAGGACCCCAGTGACTTCTGCAATAACGAAAATTGTGCCCGATTCGGTGACACAAGAAGCAGATTGGCTTGTCATCGTGTGTTCACCATGTGGATGGATTACGGAACCTTGAGGGAGAGCCGGTCTGGAAGGGACGTGCAGGCGTGTATTGAGGCGGGAAGTCTGTGCGGGGAGGCGGTGAAACAGAGTAAATTCCCAAGCTGGCAATTTCCAGCCGGACGACGGCTTGAATAAGGTAATTGGAGGAGAGGGGTCAGGGGCGTTGGCCCACCTTAGCTGGAGCAGCCGCTTCAAGTTCCCGCCTGACGAGTCGCATCAGGTTGTCTCAGGTGTCTGGTGGATGATGGGTGTCGAGACACGAGGACGTTGCAGCGGTGTTCGGAAGGCGCTGGAACTGATGGGAGATGCGCCTGCTCTTAGCTTGTTGGAACCGGTGGCATTCTTGAATAATGGCATCAACAGATGACACATTGTTGTATACCAACAAGTTCAATGCATCGTCGGCGATACCCTCTAGAATATGCACAACTTTGTCAGGCTCGGACATGTTTTGTAAGCTTGGCGGCATAGTGCGAGGACAGCCTGAATGTAACTGATGTAGGACTCTGTAGAAGTTTGTGCGCAAGTCAACTCATATTTATGAGTTGATATTAGCTCGCGCCAGTCTATCTTCTTAGTCTTCATCTCCATGCACTGGCACGTAGCAATATTATCGTAAGTAGAAGTCTAAAGTAT